GTGGACCTACAAGGCCGGCGGGAGTGCAAGGAAGCCCCGCGAAGGCCCTCCCTGGCCCCAGGCAGGCAGGGGTGGGGAGAGGCAGGGAGGAAGCAACTTACCCTCCCTCTTCTCCTGCCTGAATGAGGGCCGGAAGCGGGGTGGCCGGAAGCAGGGGGCAGGGCTTCGTCATGTGCCCTGCCCCCCCGTACCTCACCCGGGGGAACTGCGATCCCCCGCGATCCCCCCTGAAATGACCTCTGAGTCCTAGACAGAAATCTGGCAACAAGTAAGAAAATATGTAAATATTATGGGGGTGAATCCAGAGATCTATGGGTGCAAGGACTGCGGATCTTTCCCCTGTTCCCTTCCCTCACGGCAATCCTTTCTTGTCTTGGGAAAGTTGATTCCTGGGACTATGGGGCCCATATGGACTATGCATTGCACTGACAGAAGAAGTACACGGGGTGATTTCATCTCCTTCCACCTCAGAGGAACCCCTTGACCCACATGCTTATTAGTTCCAGGAATCAGAAAGGATAGCTGAGGAGGCAAATAAAGGAAAGATCTGCATCTGTTATCACTTTCTGCTGATGGATCAGTGGATTCAACCCATATTTTCCAAACTGAAAGTGATAAAAAGTTGTCACACAATCTATATAATCACTATCTGCCACCAATATGCAGATGACATTTAGCTCTATCTTGCACTACCAGAATCTTGCAGGTTCCAGGGAGGCTATAGAAACCATAAACAGCAGCCTAGAGGCTATTTTGGAATGGATGAAGGCTAACAAGCTGAAACTTAATCCCAACCAAACAGAGGTTCTTTTGGTGGGGCAAAGGTCTGACCCAGAAAATGCGTTATGCCCTGTTCCAGAATAGGGTTGCCCTCTCCCGAAAGGAGCAGGTTCATGGCTTGGGGGTGCTTCTGGACCCTCTTACTGGGCAGCAGGTGGCAGCAGTGGCTAGAGGTGCTTTTCACCAGCTTCAGTCCTTCCTGGGCAGAAAAGATGTTGCCATCGTGGTCCATGCCCTAGTAACATCTAGATTAGATTACTGCAATGTGTGGGACTGCCCTTGAAGACTGTCCGGATGCTCCAGTTAGTATAGAATGCTGTGTACAGAGTGTTAACTGGAGTGGGTTGAAGGGATTGTAACATATGTTCCACCTATACTGGCTTCCAATTTGCTTCCAAGTTCAGTTCAAGGTGCTGGTATTGACCTTTAAAACTCTGTACCGGGACCAACATACCTTAAGGATCGCCTTCTCCCATATGAACTTACCCGCTCATTCCAGTCATACTCAGAGGACCTGCTTTAGTTGTCCTCACCATCTGAATCTCAGGTGGTGACATGAGAAAAAGCCTTCTCAGTTGTGGCACCAAAACTTTGGAACTCCCTCCCCAGGGAGATTTATCTGTCTCCCTCTGTTGCTGTCTTTTGTCACCAGGCAAAGACCTTTTGGTTTCATCTGGCATACCCCCAATAACAATACTGACCCTCCTTCTAGTGCTGTTTACATGCTTTAAACAGAATCTTATAATTTTAACTGTATTTTTAGTTGTTTAAATTTTTAATGTTCGCTGCCTTGTGGACCCTGATTGGGTGGAAAGGCAGCATAAAAATGTTTTAAATAAACAAATAAGAGCCATACATAAAACAAAGATAATCCTTCATCAAGGGGTAGTGATGAGAGATATTGGATAATAATATCTTTATATGTGGTGTTAATTACATGGACTCTTTGACTTTGTCTTCACCCTTGTTTTTTCACATTTTTTATTTGGGGATTTAGAGACTGCGCTGTTAGTCACCTGAGTCATTCATATATCTATGGGCTATGTACCTACTCCTTCAGGTGCAGTGTAACCACATCCAGAACAGGAGGAACTAATATGCCCATGCCAACCTTTCTTACAACCCACATCCATTTTGCCTGGATTAAGCTTCCATTTATTCACCCTCATCATTGGTCCTTCACTATGTCCAAGACATTGATTTAGAATTTCCACTTCCTCCCTTGATTTAGATGGAAAGGACAAGTAGCCATGCATTATCGGTATATGGATGTCCCTTTGCATCAAATCTCTGGGTGAGTTCCTTCAGAAGCTTTATAAAGACATTAAACAGCATGGGGTCAAGATGGAACTGTGAAGTAACCCATAAGCTGAAAGACAAGGAGTAGAACAGAAGTCCCCCTCCCAACATTACCTTCTGGAGTCTACCTTCCAAGAAAAACTGAAACCAATCCAAACAATTTGGTTCTCAACCAAACCATTTCCATGACTATGACAGTATATGTCTTTCAACCACTGTGGTCACAGCAACACCTGCCAGATGGTTCCATGATTTGCTCATTACCTTTGTCCATTTGAATGTATACTGCCAACATGTACCGAAAAGAACCGTAATATAAAACAACCCTTAGTACTTTTTTTAAAATGTAGATATGTCATGGACCTCTGTGTGTCCATTTGCAGCTTACCGTTGGAAAACTTCAAAGTTGTTAGTTCGCAGGAACCCTTGCCCCTTTCATGCTGAGATCTGACTTGTTTCTGCAGAGGACACACAAACAGAGCCATGGCTCATAAACAGGACTATATTACCTTGTAGCAGTGTAACTTTAATCTGAGCTGAAACTCAAAACAGCTGGCTCGTATCTTTACAATTGACTGGTATCAGTACTCTTAAATTTGGATCCCTGTTACATAAAGGCTGCTGTCCTAAGGACACTTCCCTGGGAGTAAGCACCATTGAATAACATGGGACTTACTTCTGAGCAGATCTTCTTAGCAGCACTCCTTATGTTCAACAATATAAAGTGAAGAAACATGCTTTCAGAGCCAATCACTTTTGATGATCCTTGAAGAGGAACCAAGCACACACATTTTAAAGGAAGACTATCTCATCCACCAGAGGCAGTTTGTGGATGAGAGGAAATTCTCTCCCAATAGTGTGGACCATCAGCTGAATCTTATGCATGAACAACATTCAAGAGTCGCCAGTGGGGAATTCAGTGGGGTTTACTGCTGCTTATGGGCAGGCTTGCCCTGACCTAATTGGTCCAATCTAGTCTGATCTTGTCAGATCTCAGAAGCTAAGCAGGGTCAGGTCTGGTTAGTATTTGGATGGGAGACCACCAAGGAAGTCCAGGGCTTCTATGCAGAGGCAGGCAATGGCAAACCACCTCTGTCTTTTGCCTGGAAAATCCTATGGGGTTGCCATGAGTCAGTCATGACATGACAGCACTTTCCACCACCTTGTACAGGCTTGGACCTCCACAGAGATGCATGCATCAGTTATTTCTTGATAAGGTAGCCAATGAGGAAAACACAATGTCCAGTTTCATTGTGGCAATAACTTAAAGGCTTCATCTAATTGGTCCACATCAACATCTCAGGGCCACTGTAGTCTCCCAAGGTTAGAAAAAGCCACAGATATTATACTTAATGCCGATATATATATATAATGTTTTCTGACACTCATAGCAATTCACAGATATTATCTCAGTAATTCTGACCACAGCCCTGTAAGCGTTATCATCTTCATTTTGCAGACAGAGGTCTGAAAGATAAAGGATTGCCTAAGGCCGTCTGGTGAGTTCACAGCAGGGGGAGATTTCAACCAGGGACTGACAGTCTCAGAAGGTTGAAGTAGATAACTCAGCAAAGGCATGGCACCAGCTGCAAGCTGCTGAGGCAATGAGAATATAAAAGCAAGGAGGCACTTTGTGGGGAAAATCTGGTGCCAGGGACGGGTGCTAAGCAATGCTCCCTCTAAGCTGTGGAGTGTTCTGAGCAAACATTCTCCTTTGTAAGCTAGTGGCATAAAAATTGTGAGCAGGCTGTTTGGCTACTGCATAAATTAGTTTGCTCTGGAGCCATCCTTCATGAGCGAAGACAAAAATGTGTGAGCTGGAGGGTAAAAAACTGTGAGCTTGCTCACACTAACTCATTTTAGAGGGAACACTGATGCTAAGCCTTAAATGCTTCTACACCTGTTGATGCTCACCTGTAAATGCCACACCAAAACTATTTTTCCTCCCAGCCACAGTCACTGTCTCTTTCAGATGCCCACTTTCAGCATCTTCTTTTTGTTCCATCTCCTAGGATGGTGTGATTAGCCGCAACCCATTCTTGGGGGTTTTCCACAGTAGCTTGATCTTGAGGGGTTAGGACCAGGGCTATTTTTGGGCAGGAACGCACAGGAACGGAGTTCCAGCTGGCTTCAGAATTGGCCACATCCACTACAGCCAAAACCTCTGAGTGCGTGGCTACAGAGGGAAGGCCTGGAGAGCGACCCCCCCCAGTCGAGCAAGCCAGGGGGGCTGGAAGGATCGGGGAGGCATTTAAATGCCTCCCCGTGCCTTCCCCAGCCTGTCCAAGGGAAGCTGCAGGGCAGCCAGGCAAGCCAAGGGAAGGCATGGAGGTGTGGCCTAATATGCTAATACGTTTGTGCTGTTGGGTGTGGCCTATTCTGCTAATGAGTTCCTGCTGGGCTTTTTCTGCAAAAAAAGCCCTGGTCAGGACTATTATTATTTTTTTTACTATCCCTGCTTCATGAACAACTTCATGTGTTCAGAACAGAGCAGCTTCATGTGTTCACACTGAGGCATTTACATAGAAGAATAATCAGGCAGGGGAAGAATCAAGAATCAAGCACCCCTCCAGGACTGCCTCTTTTCCGGCTTGATACCGCGAAATCGAGGCTTCCTGCTGCCCTGAAGGTCCTGCCGCTGTGCGACCGTATGGCTCTGGAGTCGCTGACTGGGACTGGGGAAGCTTGGAAACTATTTAAAACGACGATTCTAGAAGCTCAAAAAAATATTCCGCAGGTTAGGAAAGGCACAAACAGGTATGGGGAAAAGCCTGCATGGTTAACAAACAAAGTAATGGAAGCTGTCAATATCAAAAAGGTGGCAGAGCAGTTTTTAAACTGAATATTGGGGGAAAGCCGACAGGAGATGAAAAGTCTCTGGTTCGGATTGGCTCATCTCAGAGAGATGAGGGGGTACCTGTTGCTTTTCTACAGGGAGGTGGGAGATCCGGTTCCGGTCGCGCGAAGGTTGGAGGTGGATTGAAATTGTCCACTGAGACCGTGGCTAGTGACATGGACTGCCTGACAAGGTCTCGAGACAACAAGAGGAAGGTTGCAGGCTTAACTTGTATGAGAAATTACAGTTGTTTCTATACAAATGCTAGAAGTATCCGAGGTAAAAACGGGGAGTTGGAGTGCTTGGTGTAGGAGGGAAAAATAGACATTGTGGGTATTTCAGAAACTTGGTGGGAAGAGGAAAATCAGTGGGATACAGTGATTCCCGGTTATATATTATATCGGAAGGATAGGGGGGGAAGGGTTGGAGGTGGGGTGGCTCTGTATGTCAGAGAGGGTATAAAGTCCAGAAAGATTGAGAGGCTAAGAGAATTGGATTCGCTTCTTGAAGTTCTGTGGGTTGAAATAGGGAGGCCAAAAGGAAACTTAACACTGGGAGTTTGTTATCGCCCACCAGATCAAAAGATAGAGGAGGATTATAAAATGATGAATGCATTAAAGATAGCAGCTAGACAAAAACACTGTGTCGTAATAGGTGATTTTAACTACCCACACATTGATTGGGTCAATATGTGTTCTAGTCGAGAGAACGAGATTGAGTTTCTAGACACTCTAAATGACTGTGCTATGGAGCAGATGGTCATGGAACCTACCAGGGGAGAGGCGATCCTTGATTTGGTCCTAAGTAACACTCAAGACCTGGTGAGAGATGTAAAAGTGATTGCACTGCTCAGGAACAGTGATCATAATGTTGTTGAGTTCAACATTTGT